TCACATGAACCAAATCCTTGAAATAAATATATAGATAAATATATTTGAAATGATATAACTTGCCCAGGAAATCTTTTCCATGTGGATTAGGTTAGAATACAGTTTCCTATGCCTACTCCAATGATACCATTTATCACATTAGGTTCTAATTGCCTTCTTCCTTCATGCCTCAAATACTTATTATTATTATTATTATTTTGTTTCTTTTGTTAATCCTCACCTGAGGATATTTTTTTCCATTGCTTTTCAGAGTAAGTGGAAGGGCAGGAGAGGGAGAGAAACATAGATGTGAGAGAGACACATCAACTGGTTACCTTCTGCACACACCCTGACAAGGTGAGGAGCGAACTCGCAACTTAGTTACATGCCCTTGACAGGGAATTGAGCCCCCAACCCTTTGGTATTCAGGCCGATACTCTAACCACTAAGCACACTGGCTAGGGCTGCCTCAAATATCTATTGAGCACCTATTACACTTGACACCATGTTAAGTGTCAAAATAGAGGGCAAAATGGATGCAGTCCCTGTGTGAATGGCACTTTCAATCTAAGGAGAGTAGACATTAATCAACTAATCACACTAATCAATACATAAACTAAAACTGAAATGGGGATCTGAAAGAAAGGTACAGCTACTCTTTGAAGTCAAATAAGAACAAATATAACATAGACTCCGGAGGGGTGTTATCTGGGAAAATCTAGAGATGAGTAAGAGTTAATTGGACATAGAGTATAGGGGAGACCAGACCAACGGATAGGCATTGTGGCTGGAAGAACATGCAGACTCTGATAGACTAAAAGCATGCTAATGTGACTGGAGTTCAGATTGGCAAGGAGAGCATGGTGAGAAATCAGTCTAGAACAATAGTCAGATGCCACATCATACTTTGTTGACTCTATTAAGGATTTTGTACAGGACTTGGCCATTGTTGCTTACCTTTAAGTACACAGGAATCCACTCATACAATCTTCCTAGATCTATAGATGAGCCAAGCTCTCCAGGAAGTCTCTAGAGTACCCTGCTTTATAGAAACAATTAATTTAATCATTGTCCTGGCAAGCCTGAGTAGGAAAGATGATGCCCAGATTTATAGTGCTTGGCTCAGTGCCCTAACAGTGACAAGGGCAAGACATTTGTTAGCTCTACCAATCAGTTATATGAAGCAGCTGAATAGCCAGAAAAGTTTCAAGTGCAAAAATATCTGAGGATCCATAATTAAAGAGTCTTCTTCCCTATCCCCGATACACTATTGAGAATGAATGGATAATTGTCTAGGATGGAGCAGCTAAGGAGATGGCTCATACAAAATCAAATCCAGCTAGGGACTTCATAGTAAAGAAAATGTAATTTGCTTTAAAACACCAACAATTAATGCCCAGTCCTTGATTTAGAGGTGTGTCCTAGTCACAGTCAATTCTCCCTGCAAGAGGCTTCCAAAGAATCAATATATTGAGAACAAAGTAAAGCCGGAGACAAGAGAAAATGAATTCTGCTCACTATTGCAGGACTTTTCTAGCAATGATTCCGAAGATAGAATGAACTATCTAAGGAGATAGTGACATCAAAATTTCAAAAATAAGCTAGAAGGCCACTTGGGGGATGATATAGAGAGTTTCAAACATGAGGATTGGTCTATGTAGCCTTAACAATTTCCTCTCACCATGAGGATCTTAGAGGCAAAAAGAATGATGTGAAATTAGCTATAAGATGGAAAATTAAAAAAAAATTTTTTTTTTTAAATGGAAAATTGAAAACACAGAGAGGTACAGAGGCTGCTGTTTAAAAAGCACTCCACAATGAGGAAGAAGAGCAGAACTTAATTTTGTTTGGAATGGAAGCAGCTTATGCCATTGCACCTAATCTGATCTGGGCTTGGGAACCAGGATAAAGAGATAAAAATGTATCCTTCCTGGGAACTATGGCTTCCAACTTGAACTCAGGCTGCACATTTAGCCAACTGCACTGAATGTGCATTCCAGATTTGGGGTTGAGGAAGAGTAATCATAGTTTGGACAGATATTAGTTAACTATCACCGTGTAGCAAATTATCTCAAAATTTAGAAGCTCAGAAGAACAAATGTTTAATATCTTACACAGATTCTGAGGGTAGGCTCTCTGGGAGAAGCTCCACTGAGTGCTTCAGGCTCAGGTTCTCTCTTGAGATTGCAGTCCAGGTCTCAGCTAGGTCTATAGTCATATCAAGGCTCAGCTGAAGCTGGAAAATTCCATTTTAAGCTCATGTGTTTTGTTGTTGCCAGGCCTCCATTCTTCACTGGCTTTTGGACAGAGACTTCTGTTCCTTGACACATGGACCCTCCGTAGTCTGCTTGACGGGCTTAACGACATGGCATCTGGCTTCCCACAGAGGAAGTGATGCAAGAGGGAGAGAAATGTGAATGAGTGAATGAAATAGTGCTCCAAAAGGAGGCAGGACTATTTCTAGAATATAAAATACCTACAACTGAATAAGACAAGTTGCCCAATAATAAATGGGTAAAGTATTTGAGCAGAAATTATACAAAAGAAAAGTCAATGGCCAATAAACAGGAGAAGATGCTCAATTATCATGAATCAATAGGGAACTAAAAACTAAAATCCAGCCCTAACCGGTTTGGTTCAGTGGATAGAGCGTCGGCCTGCCCACTGAAGGGTCCTGGGTTCGATCCCGGTCAAGGGCATGTACCTTGATTGAGGGCACATCCCCGGTAGGGGGTGGGAGGGTGCAGGAGGCAGCTAATCGATGTTTCTCTCTCATTGATGTTTCTAACTCTCTATTCCTCTCCCTTCCTCTCTGTAAAAAAATCAATAAAATACATTTTTTTAAAAATTAAAATCCATATGAGCCCAGCTGGGTGGCTCTGGATGAACACTGACCCATGAACCAAGAGGTCACTGAATGGATTTCCCATCAGGGCACATGCCCAGGGCAACAGGCTCAATCGCCAATAGGGGGCGTGCAGGAGGCAACAATTGATGATGTTTCTCATCCATGTTTCTATCTCCCTCTCTCTCTAAAATCAATAAAAACATATTTAAAAAAACAACACCCACATGAAATACTCTTACAGAGTCACAAGAATGGCTAAAATTTAAAAGACTGAAAATAACCAAACATTGGCAAGGATGTGTGAAACAAGTTGAATGATCAAAATACACTTCTGCTGTTCTGTAAAGTAGCAAAGCTATTTAAAGAATAGTCTAGTAATATATACATTTACCATACCATTTCTTCTGTTTAAGAATAATGTCTTCAGCTTTTTATAGAAAGATTTATACATGAATGTTCATAAGAGTATCATTCATAGTAGTCGGCTCTGGAAATAGTCAGTGTGCATATGTCCATCCAACAAATTGTGCATAAAATGGAATACTATTTAACCCTCCCTCTCCCAAAATAATTATATACTGATGCATGTAGCAATATAAGTAAATCTCATTTCTCTAAGTCAGTGGTCGGCAAACTGGCCCCTTGAGTGTGGCTCTTCCACAAAATACCACGTGCAGGCGCGCACATACAGTGCGATTGAAACTTCATGGCCTATGCCACGGGGCCAAAGAGCCGCATGTGGCTCACGAGCCGCGGTTTGCTAACACTGCTCTAAGTAAATGACCCCAATTAACTGACTACCCATCAGTGATACTGGCCCAGAGTTATACTCAGCAGTGTGTCACCAGCAGTCCCAGCAGAGGCCAGGGAAGTTGACACTGGGAAGTTTCTACTTATGTAAGGCATTATACCCTATGACATCTCAGATTCCTTCCAATGAGGAGTGTCTGATTTCATAGGATGCATCATCACTTCAGTCTCCCCCAGGTTAGAATATAGCTCTGTGAATGTAAGGGCTTTGTCTGTTCTGTTAATTGCTCTATTCCTGGTGCTTTGAATAGTGTCAGGAATATAACAGATACTCAATCAGTATTTGTTAAATGTATGAATGTCTCAGTTAAACTTACTGCAGGACCTTAAGCAATGTACTTTTCTTCTCTGCACTGGTGGCCTCTAGTGACCTTTCTAGGTCTGCCAGGCTGTGATCCCATTTCTAACTCCAAGACATTGTTTCTAAAAGGCTTTGCAGGCTATGGGGCATTTGGGAAGGGGCGTTCCTATGGGGGAGGGGGGGGAGGCAGGGCTGGGTAAGGGCAAACCTGATTTAAGGAGAAGAGCTTTGTCCTTTGGAGCTGGGGACCAGGGCAGTTTGAAAATCAATGTGAATTGTCTCTTTGAGATGCAAAGGGATATGTTCCTAAAACCCGAGGGTACAGGATGCTGAGGACCCATTCCAAGCATGTTGCCTTTGTCTCCTTTGAGTCAGCCTTGTCAACAAATTGTTCACAGTCCCTGAGGGCAGGGGGGGGGGCACAGCATAAATAGCAGGAGGGACGCCTTTTCCTTTTAAGTATTTTTTTTTATGAAGTTCACAAATGACAAGATTTCTTTAAAGAAAAAGTTTCATTGAGGCTCAGCATTACTGTGTGTCCCCAGACACCCAGGGTGCAGTGCTTTCATGTTCCCCTGAGTTTTGGCAGAATTGCCAACATCAACATGTTGGCTGACTGTGCCCAGATTTGTTACCAGATAAGCCAATGATATATGTTGGCATATTTATTGAATATAGAATCCTTTATAATGAGCTAATATGCTAATTAGACCTGATGGCAGAACAACCTTCTGGAATGACCTACCCCTCCCCCTTCCCTTCCCCCTCCCCTTCCCCTTCACCTCTCCCCTCCACCTCTCCCTCCCCTACCCCCCTTCTCCTTCCCCCTCCCCTTCCCTCCCCTTCTCCTTCCTCTCCCTTTCCCCTCCCCCTCCCATTCCCTTCCCCTTCACCTCCCCCTCCCCTTCCCCTCCCCCTCCCTTCTCCCCTCCCCTTCCCCTTCACCTCTCCCTCCCCTTCCCCCCCACCTCCCTTTCCCCCTCCCCTTCCCTCCCTCCCCTCCCCCTTTTCCTCTCCCTCTTCCTCTTGCATCGCCTCTAGTAAAATATAAAAGACACTAGGTGATTTGCAATAGCTTTATTATGCAGTTAAATTTAATTTATTTTGAATAAGACAGAGTCTTTTCAATGTTAAGTAGCATGCACATGTGTGTTTATCATGTATTTCTCCAATTGTTTTTATGATAAACTTAAAGAAGTGGGTAGGGTTCAGCTTCCATCATCTAGGAGGAAAAAAAAACACAGAAGTTAGAATTTAGTTACTTATTAATTGTGAGGTTATTAACATCTATATTTCCTGACGGATGATTCAAGTGTCAGAGGGAAACACTGGACCAAAACAAAACAAAACAACAACAAAAAGCAGAAATAAACCCCAAAGCTACGGGTTTCATCTGTGGGGACGCTCTGTCCTTCTCTAGATACTTTCCCTTGTTGATTTTTCACTCACATGGGCCCAAGGAGGTTAGAGTGTGGCCTGCACCCCTGTAATATCCAGTCACCCACCCCCCCATCTAACAGTACAATAATAGTCACCTTCTTCCTGGGGTCCCTTCCTTTGGCCTTTGCCCTTTGAGAACATGGTAGCGGGCAGCAACTTGGCGTGGGCAGCACTTCCAGACTTGCTCAAGAGCACAGCAAGCTTATTGGTCAGGCAGGAGCCAGCGTTGCAGGATCTCTTCTGGCTAGTGAAGCTGATTTATATGATGGAGAAAAACAGACCTGTCAGTCAGAGGCTTGTGGGGGCAAAGCCTTCCCATGGGGCAATCATTACTGTTCTGAAAGGTACCAGTGAACCTAAAGTGTTGCTCTTAAGTGTGTTCAATTGTGTTGAACACAATTATCGCAGCAGATAATCATTGGCCATTTGGGAAAATGCCATGATACCTCCTCATGGAGAGTTTATAACACTGATTTCTGGAGGTGTTTGCCTTCTCCTTAGCACAGCTGTTCTTACTGGGCAGGTGTGGAGCCTTACCTGGAATCCAGTGCAGCCTGCTCCTTCTCACTGGCCATCTTCTTCATAAACTCCTTCACCAGGATAGCCAGAAGGAGGTCCTCTTCCTCCTCACTGAGTGAGCTGTCCTCCACGGCAGACCTGAGGAGAAATAGCACGCCCAATACAAGCTATGAGTCCTTCCTGCCCCCTCCCCAGGATTCCTGGTTCTTAGGTTTCCCCTAAGGAAGTGGCCACCTCAGCTCCCAGTGGACAGGGCATGACTCATCAGGAGCCAGGCACTGGTGTGACCTCCAAGCAGTGCTGTGCTGAATCCAGATCATGTAGGCTTGTGACAGATGGACTTTTCAGAAATTTTTGACCATCCTTTTGCATATAGCCAATATTAAAAATTAAATGAGAAAACTTACAGGTAGTGCTAAAGCTAAAAATGGTTCCAGTTGATTGAATAAAATTTGTACAAGAGTAAGAAAGATTAACAGCTCACATTGATTTCATAACTATGAATTTATTGGCCAAAAAGGTAGATTAGAATACAATTCATTTCTGAGATCCTGGTTGAATTAGCAAAATAAAAATTTTGGTAAAAACCAACAAAATCATTCTATGAGACTGAATGAATTCTATGAAATTTATAATAAAGAATATCAGATATCATTACAATGAAGAATATCAGATATTCTTTATATCAGAAAAAAATATACCCTCCTCTTGGTGTCTCCTCTTGGTGTGTGCCCCCCCCCCTCCTTTCAGCACACCACAATTCAGATCACAGAATTGTTTGATCCCAGGGGCACTGGGGGGAGAGTGTGCTATTTTCAGGGCTGTCTTACCTGAATGGTGCTGCCTGGATCATGCCCACCTGGTACAGGACCAAGAAGCCAAGAGCCAGGAAGGGTAAGAATTTTCCAAAGCCCATGATGCCTCTCTGCAAAGGAACAATCATGTCAGCATCTCCACCAGTTTGAAGTTTTATGAACCCACAGATCTGAGCTCACGCTTAGGGCTGTGAGGGGATGTTGAGGGAGAGTGTAGGTAGAAAGGAAATATCTGCAATTGAAATCTCTGAGAAACTGAAGATCACATTTTACTGCTCAGCTGATCCACACTTCGGCAGTCCCCAAGCTTAACAGAGAGTTAAATTGGGACGCTGCAGGACTCAAACTGCCGTTGCGCCTATTTGCCACCCCTCACGCTGACCCAGGTTCCGAACCAATTTCCCTGGAGCCACTAGGCATGACCAGAAAGTTATTCCTGCATCCTGCTCTTCGGGAGTCCAACTCCAGCGTCAGAGATGAGACTAAGCACACTCCAACTGCAGCAACACAGCTAGACCAGAGCCGATCTGCACGGGAAGAGTGGAGCACAGAGTCCCTGGACGCAGCATTACCTGGATAAAGCAAAGACTAACAGAAATTGTGTGATAAAAAGACCCAGACAGAAGTAGAGAGAGACTTTGAGACTGGCAGGGGATCGACCAAGAGGTACAGTAATGGAGAGAGAGGGAAGGGGAGAGAGGAAGAGAGAGAATCAAACACCACAGCAGGAGTTTGGGGACTCACCTGGCAGCAGGTGGTGGCGGCGGCAGGTGGCGGTAGCGGCAGTGGAGGTGTTCCGTGGAAGTGGCAGTGACACTCCAACTGGGAAGTCGCTCCGCTTTCTCCCAGCACCAGCGGCTCCTCTTATTCCCGCTCTGGGTCTGGGGAGGGGGAATCCAGGAGCACCTGGCAACCAATGAGGAGAAGGATCCGGTGCCTCAGACGGATTGTGTAACCCAGATTTATAGTGCTTGGCTCAGTGCCCTAACAGTGACAAGGGCAAGACATTTGTTAGCTCTACCAATCAGTTATATGAAGCAGCTGAATAGCCAGAAAAGTTTCAAGTGCAAAAATATCTGAGGATCCATAATTAAAGAGTCTTCTTCCCTATCCCGATACACTATTGAGAATGAATGGATAATTGTCTAGGATGGAGCCAGCTAAGGAGATGGCTCATACAAAATCAAATCCAGCTAGGGATTTCATAGTAAAGAAAATGTAATTTGCTTTAAAACACCAACAGTTAATGCCCAGTCCTTGATTTAGAGGTGTGTCCTAGTCACAGTCAATTTTCCCTGCAAGAGGCTTCCAAAGAATCAATATATTGAGAACAAAGTAAAGCCGGAGACAAGAGAGAACGAATTCTGCTCACTATTGCAGGACTTTTCTAGCAATGATTCTGAAGATAGAATGAACTATCTAAGGAGATAGTGACATCAAAATTTCAAAAATAAGCTAGAAGGCCACTTGGGGGATGATATAGAGAGTTTCAAACATGAGGATTGGTCTATGTAGCCTTAACAATTTCCTCTCACCATGAGGATCTTAGAGGCAAAAAGAATGATGTGAAATTTGCTATATGATGGAAAATTAAAAAAAAAATTAAAAAAAAGATGGAAAATTGAAAACACAGAGAGTTACAGAGGCTGCTGTTTAAAAAACACTCCACAATGAGGAAGAAGAGCAGAACTTAATTTTGTTTGGAATGGAAGCAGCTTATGCCATTGCACCTAATCTGATCTGGGCTTGGGAACCAGGATAAAGAGATAAAAATGTATCCTTCCTGGGAACTATGGCTTCCAACTTGAACTCAGGCTGAACATTTAGCCAACTGCACTGAATGTGCATTCCAGATTTGGGGTTGAGGAAGAGTAATCATAGTTTGGACAGATATTAGTTAACTATCACCGTGTAGCAAATTATCTCAAAATTTAGAAGCTCAGAAGAACAAATGTTTAATATCTTACACAGATTCTGAGGGTAGGCTCTCTGGGAGAAGCTCCACTGAGTGCTTCAGGCTCAGGTTCTCTCTTGAGATTGCAGTCCAGGTCTCAGCTAGGTCTATAGTCATATCAAGGCTCAGCTGAAGCTGGAAAATTCCATTTTAAGCTCATGTGTTTTGTTGTTGCCAGGCCTCCATTCTTCACTGGCTTTTGGACAGAGACTTCTGTTCCTTGACACATGGACCCTCCGTAGTCTGCTTGACGGGCTTAACGACATGGCATCTGGCTTCCCACAGAGGAAGTGATGCAAGAGGGAGAGAAATGTGAATGAGTGAATGAAATAGTGCTCCAAAAGGAGGCAGGACTATTTCTAGAATATGAAATACCTACAACTGAATAAGACAAGTTGCCCAATAATAAATGGGTAAAGTATTTGAGCAGAAATTATACAAAAGAAAAGTCAATGGCCAATAAACAGGAGAAGATGCTCAATTATCATGAATCAATAGGGAACTAAAAACTAAAATCCAGCCCTAACCGGTTTGGTTCGGTGGATAGAGCGTCGGCCTGCCGACTGAAGGGTTCTGGGTTCGATCCTGGACAAGGGCATGTACCTTGATTGAGGGCACATCCCCGGTTGGGGGGGGGGAGGGCGTGCAGGAGGCAGCTAATCGATGTTTCTCTCTCATTGATGTTTCTAACTCTCTATTCCTCTCCCTTCCTCTCTGTAAAAAAAATCAATAAAATACATATTTTTAAAAATTAAAATCCACATGAGCCCAGCTGGGTGGCTCTGGATGAACACTGACCCATGAACCAAGAGTTCACTGAATGGATTTTCCATCAGGGCACATGCCCAGGGCAACAGGCTCGATCGCCAGTAGGGGGCGTGCAGGAGGCAACAATCAATGATGTTTCTCATCCATGTTTCTATCTCCCTCTCTCTCTAAAATCAATAAAAACATATTTAAAAAAACAACACCCACATGAAATACTCTTACAGAGTCACAAGAATGGCTAAAATTTAAAAGACTGAAAATAACCAAACATTGGCAAGGATGTGTGAAACAAGTTGAATGATCAAAATACACTTCTGCTGTTCTGTAAAGTAGCAAAGCTATTTAAAGAATAGTCTAGTAATATATACATTTACCATACCATTTCTTCTGTTTAAGAATAATGTCTTCAGCTTTTTATAGAAAGATTTATACATGAATGTTCATAAAAGTATAATTAATAGTAGTCGGCTCTGGAAATAGTCAGTGTGCATATGTCCATCCAACAAATTGTGCATAAAATGGAATACTATTTAACCCTCCCTCTTCCAAAATAATTATATACCGATGCATGTAGCAATATAAGTAAATCTCACAGTCACTATGTCAAGTGAAACAGGATAGTGCATACCATCTACCTCTCTATCTTCAGTAAAATGAATCCACAGTAATAGAAATTAGGTCAATGGTTGTGTGGAGTAGGAGTTTGGGTGATAAGTCAATAACAAGGAACATCCTGGAATGAAGGAAATATTCCATACATTTTTTTTTTTGGTGGTGATGGTTACATGGATTCTATAATATACATTTGGTAAAACTCATGGAAATGTAATTTAAAAAAAACATAGTTTTCTATTAGTAATATATACCTTATGAAAGTTGATTTTTAAAAAAATAGGAAGAGTTCAAAATATGTAAACTAAAAATTTTTAGAAATGTGAGGGATAATTTATAGAAACAAAATAATACTTGGAAACTTTATTGCCCTCTATGCAGGCAAAAATACTGCTAGTATATATACTATAAATAACATAATTGTCCTGGCCAGTGTTGCTAATAGTTAGAACATCGGCCCATACACCGAAGGGTCTCAGCTTCGATTCCTGGTCAAGGGCACATACCTGGATTGCAGAGTCAATCCCTAGCCCTGGTCGAAGCATGTGAGGGAGACAACCAGTTAATACCTCTCTTTCTCTCTCCAGTCTCTCTAAAAATCAATGAAAAAAATAACCTGGGGTGAGGATTAACAATAAATAAATAAATAAATAAATAAATAAATAAATCACATAATCTATTTATTACATATATACATAGATATTTAGGTAGGTAGATACATATAATTTTATACCTCAGGGAATTGTTTTTTTCTGCTATCTTCTAATCACTTGGGAAAGGATCATATAATAAACCTAATAGAAAATCTCAACAAATTTCTCAAGTTAAAAATTATACAGATCACTTTATTAAACCTCAATACAAAAACCTGGAATTAAGTAACTGAAATATAAATTTAAAAACTATTTTAAATTAAAAAATACTATTTTATATAACTTGAGTCAAAGTGGAAATCAAAACAAACATTGACGGTTCTTAATATAAGATCTTTACATCTCATGACATGTTATATGGTTAAAGATTAACTCAGAGATAAAATCATAAATATACTGTATATATTTAGTGGTAAATTCTGTGATTAAAAATAAAGTTGAATAGGGTGGATAGAGCATAATGAGAGAAGGAATCATTTTGTATATAGTGGCCAGGGAAGTCTTCTCTGAGAAGGTGACATTTCAACAGAGTTCTGAAGGAAAGTAGGAAGGCAATCATACAGACTTTGAGGGAACAACATTCTAGGTGCATGCGTGAGCACGCGCACACACACACACACACACACGTACGTCTAAAGACCCTGAGGAAGCCAGGAGTAGAGCAAGCCAGGAGTAGAGCAAGCAATGGGATAATTGGCAGGAAGGTAGACCAGAGGAATGGTATTGGGTCAGACCTCTTAGGCTATCATAAGGACTTTAACTTTTATTGAGTCAATAGAGAGCCTGTGGAAGGTTTTAGACACAATGTGACTTGTGTTTCAAAAGGATCGCTCCAAAATTGTCTGTATAGCAAAAAGAATAGAAACAGGGCGATCAATTGGAAGGTTGGTGTAATAGTCCTGGTAAAACATGTCAAAGCGGCCCTGGCTAATGTGGCTCAGTTGGTTAGGCATCATCCAGTGCACCAAAAGGTTGCCAGTTGGATTTCCAGCCGACTGATGTTTCTCTCAATATAAAAGTATATTCTTATTGATTTTTAGAGAGAGAGGAAGGGAGAAGGAGAAGGATAGAAACATCAATGATGATTATCACTGATCAGTTGCCTTCTGCACGCCCCCTACTGGGGATCGAGCTTGCAACCTGAGCATATGTCCTGACCTCCTGGTTCATGGGTCAATGCTTACCCACTGAGCAACACCAGCCAGGCAATAATACTTTTTAAAAAACATGATTTTAAAAAACAAGATTTGGATCAGGATGTTATCAGTGGAGATAGGGAAGACGAGGTTAAATATAAATAACCAAGAAAAAAGAGAATATAATTTGATTTAATAATTCAACTCAGAAATCTCAAAAGAGACCAGCTAAACAAACTTTTCAAAAATCATATGAGTGAAAGGAATTAAATGGGCAGAAAAAAAACATTACAAACTAGAAAGACAATGGAATTAAAAAATAAATATTAAAGTTTATTCTTGGAAAAGTCCAATAAGCCGAAACCGGTTTGGCTCAGTGGATAGAGCGTTGGCCTGCGGACTGAAAGGTCCCAGGTTCGATTCCGGTCAAGGGCATGTACCTTGGTTGCGGGCACATCCCCAGTGGGGAGTGTGCAGGAAGCAGCTGATCGATGTTTCTCTTTCATCGATATTTCTAACTCTCTATCTCTCTCCTTTCCTCTCTTTAAAAACTCAATAAAAAATATATTTAAAAAAAAAGACCAATAAAATAGAAAATTCTAGTAAAATGGGTAATTAAAAGGAAAAGGGAAAAAATATATCACATCCAGAATAAAAAAATATAACCTCAAATATGAATATTGTAAATTATAA